GGGGGGCAGGAATGACCAATTCACATTTCTACAGAAATTTAAGGAGTTGATGTGCAAACCATACTCATCTAGCACTGTATTTCAGATTTATTCCAGTAATTGTTTTAGCATCTCCTATAGTTTGGCACCTGTGCAACACTGTTCATCTAGCTCTGGCTAGAGCAGAGGGCTCCTTAATAGAAATAGTAGAAGATAATGCTGAAAGATAGGAGAGGGTCAGACCACAGAGGACTTTAACTCTGGAGTAGACTTGATTTTCCTATGACAAGCAATTGAAATAGGGGATCAATATGGCCAAAGCAGTGCCTCTGGAGATGAATCTGGAAGTGGGATACAGACTAGATCAAGGAGGAAGAGATCAAGGGGAGGAGCCACTTAAAAAATACTCTTGCACTAACACAAGAGTGAAAACTGATCAGGGCCTGCATAGTTGAGACCGGAAGTTAAGAGATAATTCACAGAGACATTCTGAAGAAGAACATGACTAATTATATAATGGGCCGGAATTAAGTAATCTAATATTTTGAACTTGGTTGTGAGATCAAGCACTCATTATGACCCTGAATATGTTGTTCACAGAGGAAAAGTAGCATCTATTCTGAAATATTCTTACCCAGAACATTGTTCCTTAAAAAATGTCAAATTTGCCCTGGCTGGTGTGGCTCAGTTGGTTGGAGCGTCGTCCCGTGTACCAAAAGGTTTCGGGTTCGACCCCCAGTCAGGGCACATAGCTAGGTTATGGGTTTGATCCCCAGTTGGGGTGCATGCAGGAGGCACCCCAATTCATGTTCCCTTTCACATCGATATCTGTCTGTCTCTCTCTCCCCTCTTCTCTGAAATCAATAAGCATATCCTTGGGTGAGGATTTTAAAAAATGTCAAATTCCACTAATTCTCCTACTTACCCCATGTTCCCATTCTGCCTGCTCATTCCGGCCACACCTAGATTAGAGAAAGAAAGAGGGCATCAGAAAGCATTTGAATCATGACAAAATCTGGTGACCCATGTTTTTAACTCCCTAAAACTAAAGTTCATAAATTGGAGCTGGTTAAAATTTATGGTGGACTCATCATTTCCCATGAGAGATAGAGAGGAAATAAAAGCAAGGAAACATGGAATGAACAAGATAAAGGAAGCAAATTAGAAAAGGAGCACATAACAGCAAGGACATTAACTTTGTTTCCCCAATCTAGAGAGAGCCCTAGAAGAGATAAACGCAGGACCAGCTCAAACCCAATGTCCCAAATCACATTTCAGTCACCACTACAAAGACACTGTTAAAAACACTTTACAATGTAAATTACTGCTTTGAATTGACTGTACTTACAGCACTCAAATTCTTCATCACTGCTCGAGTCCACAATAAGAATGCTATCACAAAAATAAAATATATATTGTTTTAAAGGAAGGCTACCAATCAAATGTCAAAAATCTCCAAAGAAGAGAATTCCCCCCAATCATAGTTTCTGAAATGCAAATTGGTTCTAAAGGCTTATGAAATTAGGATCACAATAGGGGACTGAAGAAAAACTAGAAGCAACTCAGTCTTTACTGCAGAATCAAAGATAGGAGAAGAGTGTAGTTGAGTATCATTAGCTATCAGTGAGAAGCCTGTTTTCTGCCAAATGATTTCTTCCTATTCAAAGATATGAAAGTGAATTCTGAGAAAGGAGCCACAGGGGAAAGGACTTAAGGATGAAGAGAATACAGTTAAAAATGAAAAGGGCAAAATAGGACATCTCTTGGGGCTTTACTGCTTGAAGAGGGCCTGCTTATCAGGACTACCATCTAGGTAAACAGACAAATGCTGGAGTCCATTTCTTGGGGAGCAAACAATGGGTAATTTCTAAGCTGCAGCCATTCCCTGCCCTGAGCCATGATGGTAGGGCCTCTTGCTTCTCCGCTTCACAATTTGCCAGGGCCCTCGTCATATCCATTCTTCCCTGCTTTGTTGCAGCATGAGGTGAGGCCACAGCACATTCTGGCTCGAGATCTCTCAGCTCACCAGATAGCAGCTGACTGGATATCCCATCCTCAGCCATGTACCATGTAGATCCCAAATCCAGCTTGGAGAAGTCATGCTGCAATAAGCATCACTTCAGCGCTACATCCTAGGACCTAATCATAGGTCATCTTACCATTAGTTATTGTGACAGAGCTCACAGAGGATACCAAAAGTGCTAAAGAAGGTGGACATAATAGCTATAAGGGTTTACATATATTTATATGGTTTAACATAATATTTATAAGGTTTTACATAATAGTTACACAGTTTTACATATAAAAAGGTAGCCTTAACCACTTCTTGAGGACTTTTATTTTAGCCTTGAGGTTAATTACTGGGAAGATACATGCTGGCTCACTCCCTTGATTAAATTTCCTATTCAATTATCCATCACTATACACTGGACTTGCTGAGTAGTAGGCTTCAAGTTGTTTTGTTTTGTTTTTTAAATCAAGAAAGAAAATTCTTGCTAGGTGTAAGGTTACCCAGGAATAGGTCAAAATGTGGCCTTGGCTATCTTGACACCTATTATAAATAAATATCACTGTATACAAACTAAACTATACTTCATCTACTTTCTTACATGTTTTTTCATTACACACAGACATATACACATCTTTTTAGAAGTCAGGCAAAAGGAATAAGGGATTAGAAACATGACACAATTATACAACAGAGAGCACACTCTAATCCCTAAAGACAAAATACCAAATTCCAGGTTGGATAGTAACCAACAGAAAAGGATCCATGGTCCAAGGAATGAGCTTAAGAAGAAATAAGTGGTCAAAAAGGAGGCAGGTTTTGTTAGATACCTTTTCCAAGTAAAATGCACCACCAGGAGTACAATTCCATAGAAAATATTTCAAAGCTCCTGTCACTGTTATGAGAAAATCTATGCACCTAGGAAAGGCCAGTCGACTTAACCAGAACTCTATCATGAAAGGACTCATAAATCACATTAGAAGACTGAAAATACAACAAACCAAAACCCTCAAAAACTATAAAGTAAAGGATCCAAAGAATATCTCCCCTTTAAAGCTGAAGCCAAAATCCATAAACATTGTATTTGCTTTGATATGACTACAGAGAAAGATCTAGAAGAACCAACACCAAATTATTAATAATTATTATCTCAAACTCTGTGGTCTTGGTGTCTCTGGGCCCCACCAGGCCGCTCTAGGGAGGAGGAGGAGGCGAGAAGATGGCAGATGACCCCAGTGCTGCTGACAGGAATGTGAAGATCTGGAAGATCAAGAAGCTGATTAAGAGCTTGGAGGTGGTCTGTGGAAATGGCACAAGCATGATATCATTGATCATTCCTCCCAGCCCAGCCGGGCGTGGCTCAGCGGTTGAGCATCAACCTAGGATCCAGGCGATTGGGGTTCGATTCCCGGTCAGGGCACATGCCCGGGTTGCGGGTTGCAGCCGATCAATGACTCTGTCATCATTGATGTTTCTATCTCTCTCTCCCTCTCCCTTCCTCTCTCTGAAATCAATAAAGATATATTTAAAAAAAAAAAAAAAGAGATCATTCCTCCCAAAAACCAGATTTCACAAGTGGGCAAAAATATTAGCAGATGAGTTTGAAACTGCATCTAACATTAAGTCACTAATAAACCGCCTTTCAGTCCTGGGAGCCATTTCATCTGTACAACAAAGACTCAAACTTTATAACAAAGTACCTCCAAATGGCCTGGTTGTTTACTGTGGTACAATTGTAACAGAAGAAGGAAAGGAAAAGAAAGTCAACATTGACTTTGAACCTTTCAAACCAATTAATACATCATTGTATTTTGTGTGACAACAAATTTCATACAGAGGCTCTTACAGCACTACTTTCAGATGATAACAAATTTGGCTTCATTGTAACAGATGGTAGTGGTGCACTTTCTGGCGCACTCCAAGGAAACACAAGAGAAGTCCTGCACAAATTCATTGTGGATCTCCCAAAGAAACATGGTAGAGGAGGTCAGTCAGCCTTGCGCTTTGCCCATTTAAGAATGGAAAAGTGACGTAACTCTGTTCGGAAAGTAGCTGAGACTGCTGTGCAGCTGTTTTTTTCTGGGGACAAAGTGAATGTGGCTGGTCTTGTTTTAGTTGGATCTGCTGACTTTAAAACTGAACTAAGTCAGTCTGATATGTTTGATCAGAGGTTGCAACCAGAAGTTTTAAAATTAGTTGATATATCCTATGGTGGTGAAAATGGATTCAACCAAGCTATTGAGTTATCTACTGAAGTCCTCTCCAACGTGAAATTCATTCCAGAGAAGAAATTAATAGGACGATACTTTGATGAAATCAGCCAGGACACGGGCAAGTACTGTTTTGGAGATGAAGATACACTAAAGGCTTTAGAAATGGGAGCAGCAGAAATTCTAATAGTCTATGAAAATCTGGATACAATGAGATACGTTCTTCATTGCCAAGGCACAGAAGAGGAGAAAATTCTCTATCTAACACCAGAACAAGAGAAGGATAAATCTCATTTCACAGACAAAGAGATAGGAAAAGAACATGAACTAATTGAGAGCATGCCCCTGCTGGAATGGTTTGCTAACAACTATAAAAAATTTGGAGCTACTTTGGAAATTGTCACAGATAAGTCACAAGAAGGATCCCAATTTGTGAAAGGATTTGGTGGAATTGGAGGTAACTTGTGGTACCAAGTAGACTTCCAGGGAATGGAATACCAAGGAGGAGATGACGAATTTTTTGACCTTGATAACTACTAGGTAGTCGACATGGGTCTGGCAAAACGTGCCTCACCCTCCAGCATCCAACCCAAGGAACACACCCATGGTGGAATCCAACAGATCCCTGCCTTACAACTGGAACATTTCTAGAACTTAATCCATGAGCATTGCATATTGAAAAGAACACCGAAACAAAACCAGACCCAATCCTACACTTTGGTTTGTCATGGTGTCAGCGCAGCAACCTACAATTAAGTCCCTAAATGCCACTTTGGACTAATTTAAACAAGAATTCCAGTTTTTACCTTTACTTGACAGTAAACTGGTTGCTCTTGTATTTTATGAAGAAAAAATGATTTTTTTAACCTTCATACATAGAAGTAAAAATACTTTAACTGCNACATAGAAGCAAAAATACTTTAACTGCTGTAAACCTCAAAAGTTAATAGAAATGAGATCATACTGATTTGTTTCTTATTTTGATTGGAGAAAAATTAAATTGCTGCATTTCGCAGTGACCCATTTACATGGCATCCTCAGCTTAGACTGCATAAGAAGAAATATATGTGGTGAAANGGAAAAAAATTAAATTGCTGCATTCTGCAGTGACCCATTTACATGGCATCCTTAGCTTACACTGCATAAGAAGAAATATATGTGGTGAAATGTTGGAAAAATAAAAAATAAAAAAAAATTATTATTATCTCAAAAGAATGGGTGGGTGTGTATATATGAGGGCAGACTTTCACTTTTTACTTTAATGTTTCTGTATTTTTTATTTTTACTACAGGCCCGTATTCCTTTACCCACAACACTAATTCAAAAGAATATATGAACCCCTATGTTCATTGAAGCGTTACTTAGAATAGCCAAGATATGGAAGCAACCCAAAGGACCAGCGATAGACAATGTGGCACATAATATACAAAAAAGATGTGGTACATATATACAGTGAAATATTACTCGGCCATAAAAAAGGAATAACGTCTTACCATTTGCGACAGCATAGATGGACCTAGAGGGTATTATGCTAAGTGAAGTAAGTCAGATAGAAAAAGACAAATACCATATGATTTCACTTATATGAGGAATCTAAAGAACACAATAAACAAACAAAGAGCCTGGCCGCTGTTGCTCAGTGGTTGAGCATTGACCCATACACCAAGAGGTCACTGGTTCAATTCCTGGTCAGGGCACATGCCCAGGTTGCGGGCTCAATCCTCAGTAGGGGGCTTGCAGGAGGCACCTAATCAATGATTCTCTCTCATCACTGTTTCTATCTCTCCATATCCCTTCCTCTCTCTAAAAAAAAAAAAAAAATCAATAAAAACATATTTAAAAAACAAAATAGACACAGTCATAGACACAGAAAGCAAACTGATGGTTTCCAGAGGGAAGGTGGGTTGGGTTGGGTTGGGTTGAGTGAAAGAGGTGAAGTGGTTAAGAAGTACAGATTGGTAGTCACAAAATAGTCAAAGGGATGTAAGGTACAGCATAGGGAATATAGTCAATAATACTGTAATAACTCTGTGTGGTGCCAAGTGGGTACTGGAAATATCAAGGAGAACACTATGTAAAGTGTATGATTGTCTAACCACTATGCTATACACCTGAAACGAATATGAAATAATATTGAATGTAAACTGTAATTGAAAAATTAAATTTAAAGTTCTTTTTTTTAAAAAAAGTAAAGAATCTTGAGCTAAAAAAGAAAGTACTAATTAGGCTTTGATTGATCAATGACAACCAGTCACCCACCCTCTGCATTATGTATTTCAGTAGCACTTCTGCCTTCAAACTGCCAAACCTCCCTCACTCTGTTAATGACTTTGTCTTATAAGTCACTGCGAAAACAGAAGCAATCTGACAGGAATGCCCTCATATGCCCACCAACAAATCTACTGACTTATCTGTAACTGTACCCACCTCTCTGCCTTCTCTATTCTCAACAAGAGCATAGCGTCCCTACCACTATCTAAGGCCAATTGCTCCCTTGTACTTTCTATCTCATCCCCCTCTAGCCTTCTCAAAGATTTTATTCCTGCAATTTTCTGTGCTGAATTATTGTCCCCTCTCCCTGGATCATTTGTTCTACTATTCCTAAATCCCATGTTCCCCAATTTTATGTTTCTAGCCTTTAACTCTCCACTGAACTCAGCTATATGTGTAACATCTTGGCCATTACTAGTATTTAGAACATAACATGGCCAACGAAGAACTCCTGATTTCCTCCCTCAGTCCTGTTCCTATACCAGTCTTACCCATCTCAGTCAGTGGCACCACCGTTCATCCACCCAGTAACACAAACCAAAAACTTAGGAGTCATCTCTTTCTCTCACCTCCCACATCCAATCCATCAGCAAGACCTGTTGGCTCTACCTCTAGAGTAAATTTCATCTAATCTAAAACATTATTATATGGCCCGGCCAGGCGTCGCTCAGCAGTTGAGCATCGACCTAGGATCCAGGAGATCAGGGTTCGATTCCCAGTCAGGGCACATGCTCGGGTTGCGGGCTAGGCAGCCGATCAATGACTCTCTCATCATTGATGTTTCTATCTCTCTCTCTCTCCCCCTCCTTTCCTCTCTCTGAAATCAATAAAGATATATTTTAAAATAATAATAAAATAAAATAAAAATAAAACATTATTATATGTACCTCTAAGAAAGAAAAAAAAAAAAAACTACCAAATGATGACATGCTGTCAGACATATAATGTATCCCAATTTCAGAAATGTTGAAATGTGAAAAATGTCTCAGGATTGATGTACTACAATATTCATCCAAATCTCTCCAATTCCACTATTACCACCCTACTCTAAGCTACTGTCACTTCTCACAAAACTTCTGCAAATCTAGTTCTTGGACCTCGACTGTAAGAGAACTATTTATCTCATAGGGCTATTGTGAAAATTAAACAAGATAATGTCTGCCCTCCTAAAGGATTGTGTACTTCTCCCCCATTACAGCCCTTATCGCACTATATTGTAATTACCTGTTTACATGTTTCTATCTTCCATCCCAGATGGTAAGCTATGCAAGGATTTGGTGGTATATCTGTTTCACACTGTTCAGTACAAAGTCAGTATTCAATAAATATTTGTTGAATAAGTGAATAAATGAATCTGAAAAGGTGGTTCCAAGGACCCCTTTTAATATTTTCTACCCTCCACCTACTCCCTCATAGAACTTCGTTTTTCAAGGTTTTGCCTAACATATCTCACTAAGTAATAATTTTCTCTATTAAAAAAATAATTACGCATACATGCCCACTTATGCAAAGGTTTGAGGTGTAGAGTCAGTCTGAAGTAAAAACAAACAAATAAACAAAAGACTAACATATTGTTTGCATTAATGAAAATACAGTGCCCAGATGCTGAGATGTAATGGTCCCAAATTGCAGCTAAGGTAGGTGGAGAGACTAGCAGTAGTTGTCCAGCCTTAAGGGTGATATCCCACCAGAAGTCAAGGATCTGGTCTTCATCTGTAGCTTCAGGAACTCAGGTTTCTCAATTCTTCATCAAATGCTAGAGGAGTGGCTCACATTAATCAAATTTGCAAGGCGCTAACTAATAAACACTCAGAGTGCCTGTTTACTTCTTAAGAGAACATCCATCTGCCCTGGGCACTCCCTAAAATAGGCCAAATGACTGAGGGTCATACAGAGAGCTAGGATTTTACTTTGTGCATTTTTAAATCACACACACATTCATTTTTTAACTGAATGCTGCAACTAGAATCTTCGTGCGTTTAATTACTTTCATAAATTGAATTTTCCTAGGGTTGATTCCCAAAAGTCAAATTACTCAATCAAAAGTATGACCAATTTTATAGCTCTTGGTACATTTGCTTAATCGTTTCCAAAGCATATCGGTGTACAATGTCAGTAGCATTGATATAATAGGATTAAATATATTAAATTTGTACATTTAATAGGTAATTTTTTTTAAATGATTTTATTGATTTCAGAGAGAGGAAGCGAGGGGGAGAGATAGAAACATCAATGATGAATGTCAATGATCAGCTGCCTCCAGCACGCCCCCTACTGAGGATTGAGCCCACAACCTGGGCATGTGCCCTGACCGGGAATAGAACCTCCATCTCCTGGATCATAGGTTGATGCTCAACCTCTGAGCCACACCAACCAGGCAGGTAAATAATTTTTAAAGTAGCATTTCTTTTTATTACTTCCTTTGCTGCATTCTTTTGCTAATCTCTCCCTGTTTTAATGACTATTACACAATAATGTTTACCCAATAGTTTTGTGACTGACAAAGGAAGAACACTTTGTCCTTGTTCTTCCAACAGTCCTACTCCCCAGAGATAAAGTGTATTTTATTTATTTTTCTAGAAAGTTCTTGCCCGGCCGGCCGTGGCTCAGCAGTTGAGCATCAACCTAGGATCCAGGCGATTGGGGTTGGATTCCCGGTCAGGGCACATGCCCGGGTTGAGG